GATTCACGCCTTGCCCTCCGAATTCCGCACCGACCGGCACAAAAAAATTCGAACGGAGTGTGCTATCGCGACATACTGTAGTGTCGCCTTTCTTTCMCACTGCAACCACAATTCCGAAAACGGATCCGTTTGAATATTTACTWAAAACCAATACAACAACACCATGTCTGGAAGAGGAAAAGGAGGAAAGGGACTCGGAAAGGGAGGCGCCAAGCGTCACCGAAAGGTCCTTCGTGACAACATCCAGGGCATCACCAAGCCCGCCATCCGCCGTCTCGCGCGTCGAGGTGGTGTCAAGCGTATCTCGGGATTGATCTACGAAGAGACTCGGGGTGTCCTCAAGGTSTTTCTCGAAAACGTCATTCGTGATTCTGTCACCTATACCGAGCACGCTCGTCGCAAGACCGTCACCGCTATGGACGTTGTGTATGCTCTCAAACGCCAGGGRCGCACCCTCTACGGATTCGGTGGTTAAAAAAAGAAATACATCCATGTGAAGGAACATCCATCCAATAACAATCATTATTATTAATCGTCAATGAGCTTCATGATTCGGACCTCATCGACTGATAGATTCCTGACAAAGGAATCGACTACAAAAACAAACTGGAGATTTTAATCTCCACATTTTCAAAACAGAAATACCGTATCAAAAGTCTCAATGGAAGCACGAACGGCTGGCAGATTATGTGATATTTCTCTTTATCAACGTAGATTGCAATGAACGCATTTTACATGCCTCGTCAACCCTCAAATCAATACAAATTATCGGCGTTTGTCAATGTAACTGAAGACACCAAATGTAGAACCTTTATGTCCAGACCAGTGCTCTTAGTCACTACATTTTGTCTCTTTGCTTTGCTGATAGAGACCAGGAGGAAGAGGGAAGGCTAGGCCAATCTGACATACTATTAACTTCTACATAAAGATGAATTCAACATAGTCCTCTTTGGCTGTTACTGCTGGCCGCAAAGCGGTTAACGTGAACTACTCCGATGATGAGTTYGAGTCCCTCTTTGAGTTGATCTGCAATGTAGTGCCCATTGGTCCAGACCACTGGGAGACTATAGTAGTGAGTGAGCATGCAAAGGCATGGTCCTTTCAAAGAAACAAGACTTCTATCAGGAACAAGTTCAATAGGGTCAAGATTATGAAGGGCTCAACAGGCAATCCTGAGATAAAGAGGTCTGTGAAGTGGTTATGATGAATGAGAGGGCCAACCTTGGTGATGGAGAGGAAGCCTTTGATCTGAACAAAGGGTTCATTAAAAGTGATGCTGTGGTGGAGGTTTTTGGACCCTGCACTCAGGCGATACTTGCAGATTTCTTAGATGATACTGCTGGAGCAACAACGGCTCCAACAACAACAACCATGGTGACAAGGACATCAATGCTTGAGTTGACAACAAGCCTTGAGTCGACAAGAACTCMTGYTGCTGTTAAGAAGACTTGGCCATACAAGGGAGGAACCCCTCAGCAGGCTGACACAAACACCATGTTACCCAGAGGAAAAATGATGAGGCCAGAAAGTTGGAGCTGCTGTACAACTACAGAAGGAACAACAGGAAATGAGAGAGTTTGAATAGCAGAAGAGAGATGAGGCAAGAGAGAGAAGAGAGGATAGAAGAGACCAGACCACTCAAGAGATGTACTGTGGACTCCTTGTTACCTTAGTAGCACAGACAATTACAACTGCAATTATCCCCACAATTGCAAGTTCCATTGCTCAGTGTTTCATTCAGCAGGAGGAGATGTGACTGTCTGACTCACCACCAGTGACATGACCAATGTGGCTGCCAGTAGAAAGCCTTGCTTTGATGAATAGGCAGGAGGCGTCATTCTGATGAAGAATACCATGGTGATGGGACTAATTGATTATGTTAGTTCCACTTTGTTGGTTAATTATAACTAGTTTAGTCTAACTTGGGCTTAGTTCTAATATTAAAAAAATGAGCTTGCTAATCCTTTTTAGATGTGAAATTAGTAAAGTAGCTTAGTAGTCTGCATTCCCTCTTTTTTGTTATGGAATATTGGTTTTTGTGTGGAGTATYGGTTTTTGTGAAAACTCTTTGTGGGACTAGTAAGATCAGTTTCTCTTATCATTGCACATGTCGTGAAGAGCAATGCCATCATACAATATCCAGCTATGAACATTAATCCATACAAAAAATGCTAGTACAAGATCCACTATATCAATAAWTATACTGTAATAAAGACAAAGAGATGATATGATTCATGTGGATGCCAATGAGAATGACAGCCTGCATGCCGATGAATAACAGCCGCATGTAGAATTATTTGATGAAAGCTTCTTGTTCTTACTCCTTACAGCACCACTTATATTACGACATCATTATCAAAACTAAAGAACWAACTAAACAGTATGGACCATGGGGTTGACCTAACTGGTGAGTATTCTTGTGAGTGTGTGGCTTGGTGTATGGATGTGACATATTGATTTGCATTATTGATTTGCACTATCAATTTGCTGTGYTTTGATATCAATATYGATCAATGACACATTGTCAATCTAGCCTTCAGAAATCTAACATGGATRTACTTCCAAACCATTTCACTATGGGATTCAATAAAACAGCTCATTTGTGTCCACCAACAAGGATGTCCTGGGGTTGAAGTATCTACCCTCAAGTGTTGTCTTAATGTATGGTGACTGGATTGACTCAAGTGTTGCCGCCAGCCTCCTCTTCMTGAAGACTGTTAGGATCTGGTTGTGTCCAGCAACATCACTGCACTGATAGTTGTACAAGTTCCCAAGTAACTCTCCTCCTGTCCCCRAGCTATCCAAAGCGCAGTGGATCTTTCATCCTTGGAAACTGTCCCTACAGCATCCTCATTCCCCATTCAGACAACATCTGTCTTAATGATGTGGCTTCTCTGTTGAGGAGTATCCCATCTGCTTGTTCAGGGTCACCAGTCTGTGAGCTTTTGATGAGGATATGCTCCCTATTCTTTAAGGCAAAGGCTGGGTCAACAACAATCTTGGCACCACCACAACCACAACAAGTGTTGCTAATGTCTCCACTTTGTCATGTACACCATTGTCAGTGACGATGTAGCTGTTATGCCATGTAACAGGACAGTTTAGAACCCCAATTCTGATCCTACCATCTGGAGCGAAGACAAGCACACTGTTCACAAAGGTACATTCTTTCCAAGCATTGAAGTAAGTCCTTTGTTTGCTCCAGTCTTCTGGAGACTGGATGTGCATCTTGATACYATCACAAGCTCTCCAGACKTGTTATCCAGCATTTCCTTCTCAGTTGGAACACTGACCATGGCAATTGCATGTTTATGAAGCACAACAATTGCATGTTTATGAAGCASAAGTAGAAKAACCCTCCTGGAGAACTTGATCCATTTGTACATCACTGTGGATGTCAAGTCAAAYRCCATTCCCATTGCTCTTGCAAYAGACCCTCTAACTCTATACCACCAGTAGAGGACCATCCCAAGAGAGCACATAGTGTTGACCTCTCTAGATTTGCCCTTCYTTTTTCCACTGGGAAGGAGAGCAACTGATATGATATCATTGTTGTTGGCAACTGGTGTGTAGTTGTTGAAAGCTGGAGCAAACAGCCCAAGAAGCTCTTTGAAGACCTTGTGGTCTACACCACAACAATTCAACAAGACATGGTCACATYCTGGTGAGTAGAAGAGGTGGTGGAAGGAAGACTCAGTGTGTCTATGTATTGCAATCCGTGGTGTCCTACAGTCCATCCTTTTCCTCTTGCCAGGGGTTGGCATCCTTTTTTGTCCTCCAAGGTCTTCTGCTGAGCCTCTTGTTGCTCAAGGATGCAGTACATCATAATAGTCTTAAGGAGACACATAGTAGTACTACTACTAGCATCGTGGCAGTTCTGTTTGYCAGAAGAAAACTATGGTGTAATATTGAGGATAGTAGGAATAAAATTCAGCAACAAATTGTGCATTTCTTTTGCCACAAAAATTTCATGTTTTTTCTTGTACAAAAAGCGCGCCAGCCAAATTGGCACCCTATATTAGTCATTCTGTTGAACTAGTATACTTGAGATTAAAATTCCCAAAAAGACTGACATTCAGATGGTGGTGTGTCCATTTTCCATTTGTCTAGATTGGCTATTWTAGCCAATCAAGATGTTTCATCAATCTAGATTAATGGGAATCACCCATTGTAAACTACTACCTCCGTCCCACAATAATAGTAGTACACTTTGCACCTCTTGGGTTGGATTAAGTTCAATATATGGTTGATTTCAATGCTTCTTTTTTCTTTAACAGATCTATTATAAATGTATACAAGAAGTATAGAGATTGTATTAATTGAAAGTGTCTGACATATTTGTGGTATTTACTTAATGAGGGATATTCTTTCTTCTTATCAATATGAAAATACCGTCAGTTGGGTTCTACTGGTCATTTTGATATGTCACTACTACTTGCACATGCTGATACTAGTAGCTACGTGATGTAAGAGGAGTGACACATTTTTGAGGCTGTAATTCGCTTCAGTAGTATGGAGAACTTTCTTGTATCAGTCATTCTTGTTCAAAAGAGGTGCCTTTTACCATTGTCAATGCAAACTTTAGTAGTTTGTCATGTTAATAGAGTGTATTTTCATCATGTGTTACTAAAAAATAATAATTTTTACTATTCACTGCACATCCTCATTTTTACCTACAGTACCAACTGTACACATTCTAGTACACAGTCATGCACAGTCATTCGTAGAATTCAATGGCCAGAAACTCCAAAAACTGTTAAGTAAATGCTTCTACTGGACAATTATTTAGGGAAAAATAGAGTACTGCAAAGTGTACTAGTATTGTGGGACCGAGGTAGTACGTATTATTGTACACTAGTACCCATAGCCTTTCAGAATGAACAGGTTATGAGCAACGAAAGGACTTCCGGGAGGAAGGGTGCTTGAACGACACTGGTTATGAGTTATAAATTATTACTCCTCTCGAAACTGTGTAAATAAGCCTTRTGTTKCTWWTGAAGTGTGACTTATGAAACTYAAYTATGAATTATCAATRTTGTACGAGTTCTTCTTCATACCATTTCATTCCCACTAAGTGAAATAGGATTCCCTCTTGGAACACAGGAGGCGAACACATCGAAGCAAYCGGSTCTATGAAATTGGTAAATTCAGCATTTACCAAGACTACCAAGACTGTCACTGTGACAAGCTTTGGACCAAAACCGGTTTTTCCCTGGTTCGAAATAAGAATWGGCGTTATGCCGCATCTCACCTTCTATCCAAGAATAATAGCATTTGTTGTGAGTTTGATTCCATGAGGTTCACGACATTTAACAAATCTGGAGGCATACCGTATCCAAATTGCCCTGGGAGAAAGGAACAAATCCGAACATTCAAAAAACGGCAAACGGGACCTCGAGATTTTTTAACCATCTGATCGAACCCACCCAAAGTCCATCGCTACTACCTTCCTCCAATGGCGATGGCGATTGCGAATGCGTTGAAATTTCAATCGTGAGGGAAGAACCCTCTAGGGAAAGATGGAACGAACGATTCTTCACATGGTGACAGCCGAAGCAAAATGCAAGCAAACGTCGCTAAGCGATGAGGAAGCAGCAATCGCCATTTTCGATGGAGCATAGTGACGAACCAAAAGCTTTCCTGTTCCCATTCAATTGAAAGACAGTAAATAAATTCGAGCAATCACAATCTTCGGTRAACTCTRTAAGCTATCACTAACTATACAATGCAGTAGTAAACTAGCACTTTAGTAGTACGCTTATACCGAATGACAGAACAAAATAAGTAGTTTACAAATAGTCCAAAKAATATATCATCATGCGTCATTTTTCTATGAATTGGTTCTATCTGTAGAATAGCTCGCGTTGTCGACGAAATAATCAACCCCTCGGAGCACTACGAACAAAACTGTCGACTTATCTATCTGCTAATACAAATCTCATTGTTGCGCTTCCTGTACGTTGCTGCGTTGCGCTGTATTATGTTATGCTTGTGGTGGTGTGAGTGCATACCGACAAATTTTATTGCAGCGATTAGTTRCTCATCTCTGCTGGGCCGACCTACTGGGAATTTCCAACTACTGCTAGGTAAACACCATGGTCTTCGCAATCGCTAAAGCCTTCAGGAAACCCCTCTTGAAGAATATCGAGCGCCTCCGTGATCAACGAGGCGGTAGATCGTTTCACAAGGGGCCATGAATGGGAATGTGATTGCGTATGCGAACGCGAATGCGAACGTGTYCCCATCACTGTATTGTGAGCATCRGTACCCCATAAGGAGTCGTCCTTGGGAAATCGGGAAAGCTCTCCGGGGACCGCAAACGGACATCCATGCGGACTCGTTGGCATCGGAGACAGCGACTGCTGTGGGTGCTGCCCTGTAGGTGATTCTTGGTGAGATTCCCTCTGCGTCGAGAGACTAAAGATGTTGCTCGGAAGTGCCGGAATCAGCTGTCTTGCAGACAAGGAGCGAGTTGAGTTTGTGGATGGCGTAGGACTAGTGGCAGCGCTTGCAGAAGCAGGTGAAAAACTCGAACCGCAGCCACTGCTGCCGGAATCGATGGAAGGCCTTGTGGGTCTCATGGCGGGTAAAGTTGAGTTGTGGTGAGTTGTGGTGAGCTGGGGTGTAGGTATGTTTTGCATACGAGGTGGCGAATGTGTTTTCCTTTTTTGTCTTCAGTGAACAATTCCCAATCCAGATTGGACCAACAGCGGGTCAAAAATGTAAGATGTTTTGGCTAGATTTTTTGATATATTATGAATCGACAAGACAGATTTGTTTGCTCGGATGGACGCGGGTGGACGGAACAAAGAAGAAACACACTAGTCAAGAACGAATTTTTGAAGAAGCGAAGAGAATTCGATGATGTAATATATTCTTGCTTTTTGGTCTGATGTATAATTGTAGAKTATAATTGTAGAGTATTCGCCAGTGAATTTTAGGGTTGCGTTAAKTAAAAAGCGAGAGAACTTTGTTTTTRAAATTTTCAGAGCGTTATGGGAWTGTAAAAATGACAATTATTATGAACATTTCAACCAATACCTGCAGCTATATCAAGATACCWGTATGACTGTGGACTTTCGGCAGTACCAGGCAATGCCCTCTGGAACCCACGCGCGCGTATCCCCCCTTTGAAATCCAACATTGGGGCATGATTTCGTGGGTTATTGGGTGATTCCCATCATTCTAAATACTCTAGATTTGATAGACTGACAGACCAAAAATTTAGAGAAAGTGACTCTAGATTTAGCAATTTTAGAACCGGTCAAACCACCCAGTCCTAAATACTCTAGATTTCTTAGACAAGTGGAACCCACAAATGAAATTTTCCAGTTGTCCGGCGCTGAAGGACTCTCGAAAGACTCAAGAACAGAAAGCCCCACCAAAATTAAGACTCCTGTTGTTCTAAACAACCACACTAAAGAAATAATTGAGACGCCTCTGTTGACATAAACAATGTCCAAACAATCAGTCTTTCTAGTCACTACATTATACTATTACCTCTCTTTGTTGCATCGACAAAGAGAGCAAGAGGAGGAGGCTGGCAGCCGCAAAGAGGAGGCTCCAGGTCATTGTCCAATCCCTCACATTATTTCTTTCATTAAGATGGATATGGATCCAATTGCCAACACCAACAACACCAACAATGGCMACAGATCTGGTACTGTTAACTACTCAGAAGAAGAGCTAGAGAGCCTCATGGAGTTGATAGTGGTGGAGGTGCTCCCCATCGACTCAGAACAGTGGAATACTACTGTTGTCACCAAGCATGCTGCAAAGTTCCCCTTTGACAGAAGCAAGAAATCCATTAGGAACAAGTATGGTTCCGTGAAAAGAAGGAGAAGCTCAACCAGTAACCCCAACATGCCTAGATATGTGAAGCTTGCAAGGCAGGCCCATTACTTGATTGGTGGAAAGAAAGCAAATATTGGTAGTACTGGTGGAGAGGAGGACTTTGATATGAAGARCAGAAACAACAACAACAACAACAACAACAACAACAACAACAACAACAACAACAACAACAACAACAACAACAACACTTCTTAGTACTACTAGCCAGTTGATAAAGCCCCTGTAAGGCCACCAGGGAAGAATCCCATGGTGAAAACACCTCCACTACTCCCATTATCATGGTGTTGTCTCTTGTTAGGAGGAAACTGTTGTCTAATAGTGTGTTCATTGACCCATTACTAGCTAGCATGAGATATGAACATATTTTCTGAAAGTATCAAAAAAAAACTGAGAGTATCAAATATATGCAGAAAATGTGTTCATTCCTCAGCCTAGTAAAGTATCAAAAAATCCATGACTTGCACGCCTACTTTTAGTCATTGCATTGGAGTATAGTTTAGATTCCAGATTCCCCAAAAGACTGGAATGAAGGCGGGCTGCCTCTCAGTTCATCTGTTGAAATGTTGATTCCCAATATTCTAGATCCCTATATTCTTGCCTGGAAGTCTGAGTATTGCCACCCACCATMTCTCCAGGGACATCTTGGTCACTAAATGTTGCAACAATATTCTGCCCACCGCCACAGTTCTCAAACGGTGGAACTACCAACAGCAGGATACCTGTTGTCTTTGCCAATTGCCTGAAGAGTCCGAACACCTTTTTYGTTGCTCCCACCCATCACGCATCAGCTGGCRGAGACAGACCATCTCCTCTCTACAACAATGCATGTCCACAATTGGTTTCCGACCAATTGTCATTGATACTCTCGCTACATGTCTTACCGAATGGTTAGACACTGGCACCGTTTCTCCTGAGAAATATCCTAYATCCCTTCATCCTGTTATTCATTTTCAGAGTGAGATTGGTTGGCACCATATGTTTGCTGGTCACATTTTGCTCCAGTGGTTTACCAATCTTGATCTTCATTCCGGCTCTTACTCCCCGCTTGTATTAGGAGGTTACCTTGTGGAGTTCTTTCTTACCTCCTACATATCTTTATGGGAACAGAGAAATAAGGATCTCCATGGCCATACGCTTTCACAGAAACAAGTAAAGTATCAAAGGTGCGTGGTGATGAAAGTTTGGACCTTCTTTGCATTGAAATCTCAGACCTGTCCTTCCCATGCTCACTTATTTCCAGCRGACATGGAAGCATTCTTATTACAAACCCCTACCTTCATGCTCTCTTATTATCATCGAGCCTATGAGAAAACAATTCTGGCGAGTGTCACTCAAGCTACAAATGCTTCAGTCTCCAACACCCGCCCTATTACTCAGTATTGTCCACCATTGCTTCATAGTAAACAACCACTGGAGAGTGTCACACAAGATGGGCTAGTCTTTGATGCATACTCCAAGAAGAGAAGACACAAATCCCCTGCGTTGCCAATGAATTCTTCTTTGGTCTCTGCCGCACCCAACCGTACCATGCAAACTACTATGAACCAATACTTCACTTAAACATGCCCTTTGAGCCTAGCCTTGGGGCTTCAATGGCCTAGTATCAGTGTACATAAAACCTGGTTGCGCCTCCATTAAACCTCCTCAGAGGGAGGCGCTGCCCCTCGGAGCAGCTAGAAGCATTCTTTCTCAYGACAGCAATGGTTCTGGCCTTCCTAGTGCCTCTTCTAGTTCACAAGGCTAAACATAAATTTAAGATTTTTTTTTAATTTTTTTATTCTAGATCCCTACATTTAGGGCTTCAGAGTTTTAGAATAACGGGGATCACCCATTCTTCCAAGGAAACCCATGTTTTATTCTGTGGGTTGCTTGTTATTTCATGGGTCAATTGTGTGTTAATCCAGGAACTCAGGAACCCACATATCAAAACATGGGTTATTTTTCCCATGAAACAACCCACAATTCTCACCAAAAATAATCCATGTTTGAAACCTGGGTTTCTGGATTAACACAGGAGGAATAACAAGAACCCATGAAATAACAACCCACAGAATGAGAATCCACGAGTAACCACAATTCTGATGGGCCTATTTTCAAACATTAAAGAAAGTGATTAATTTTTGTTAATGACTAAAATAATTAACATCCTTGGTTCTCCACTAACCCAGATGACTGTAAAAAAAATTTCGTGGGTTATGTATGGGTTATTCCTCATGGGTTCCTTGGTTCTTTTGTGGGTTATTTTTCAAATTAAATAACCCACATTTTGGATAAATGGGTTATTTTTTCCATGAAATAAACCACAATTCTAAAATTTGGCTTATTCTTCACCAAAAATAACCCATTTTTTCTATGGGGGTAATTTGAAAAGGGGGRTGTGTGCATAATAGGTACCAGAGGGCCAAGATCTTAAACTGTGCAGTTTGACTCCTGCTGTCCATAGGATATCATATTCTGCTGGGTATGATTCATATCTATGATAAGTACATAGTGCACATATCTATGATTCATACACACTCTACATTCATGACTCATTCCATCCTATGCATCCACATGATTGACTTGACTCATTTGATTCACACAATTCACTCAATCTTCATTCTGATCAATCTTAGATTTCATACTAGTAGTTTGTTGATCCTCCACAAGAGCATTGACTCACTTTTCTTCTAGCACTTGATTTATATCACTGTGCTCTCTCCTCACACAACTCTAGTACTGCATACAATTACCCACAAGCCTTGTTTGTCAAACCAAACTAGCATCACACATACACAGCATCACTCCCACAACTCCTCAACAGACACCACTGACATTTCATTCAACAATAACTTTTTTTCATTTGCCTGTCTCCATTCCCCCCCCCCCCCTCCACCACACACAAAAACTACTAATGAGTCCCAAAATATTTCTATTAGTCATCCTTAATACTGGAGAGGTAATTTCATTGCTTACTACCTGAGAATTAGTACTACTATTAGTCCTTGCTACTGGAAAACCTCTATTAGTGCTTACTAGTGGGGATGTTATTAGTGAGCACTGCAAACTGCTGGGTAAAGGGTTTTGTTGGTGCTGCTCTTACTAGTAGCTAGTAGCTCCTGGTGCATGTTCCTTCTTGGTGTTGTTCTTCTTGTTCTTGGCATTCTTGTCATTCTTGTTGTTCTGAAGAAAGGGGAGAGGAGAATCCACCTYCTGATACTATTTATGGTGTCAATTTTTTTAAAAGTAATAATCCAAGTGCTCCTTTTAGGTGTGATGATAGATTCATGTATATCTCTGTGCTGTTGTTCTTGTAATTCTCAATAAAATAAGTATGAGAGTCCAACACCAACCACCACAATATACTATGAAAATGTTGATATACCTTGTTAGTTCTAATTCAGTAACAAAAGAGTTTTCTGGACATTTCTCCTCCAAAACTTTAGTAGTCAGTTTGCCTCCTTTACAACACAACAGGAGAGGAAATGCCAAATTTATGCAACTCCAATGTAAAGCACAGCAGTGCTGCACAGAACAGCATACTAATAGTATGAAAATTTGTTGAGAAACATTCACAGCAACAGTCAGTGGTGGTGAATACTCTCAGCCATTATTGGCTGGTGGTACAAAGCATCATATTTCTGAGTGAGGTAAGAACAATGGTCTCATATTTCTGTTGATCTTCCAAGCCTGCTCTAGCCTTAGTAGTAGCACACAACATCTCCTGAACCCCTTCCATGGTCACTAATATTTATGTATTGAAACTTCTCTGATAAGCTTCATTTCACAAGAGTTTCTCTAGGAAGGTGGTCTTTACAAAGTGATTCTACCAATCATCATCTTGTTCTTGTTCCTTTGTCACCAGCCAGAGGTAGTACTAGTTGAACCCATCAAAGACCTTTACTATGATTAGCCATGGTGGTACCTGTACTAGTGATTTTTATCTTTTGGAATATTTTCAAGAATGGGGAACAAAAACTATTGTATAGGGTTGGTAGCCAGATGTACACACCAGTCGTACATTTTGGGCTACTTATTTCTGTCTAATGACTACTTTGA